AAAATCCTTAGGTCATTGTTAGATGGAGGGAACGCTATGAATGTGTAAAGAAACCAGTACAGGCATCCAGGAATAAAAGCCTTTAATAATTGAGCTAGAATTAAACCACCTCCTTTGTTTATTATTTTAATTGCAAGAAAAAATGAGAGCTATCAGAGGTAATATAAGGACAATCTAGGTTGCAGTAATGACTTGGATTAAGAGGGATTGATTATTTGGGGTATCAGTGTTTAAAGTTCTTTTGATCTATCTGCCATAAAATTAAGGGGTAAGCTACAAAAATGTCTGTTCTTAATTGTTTGGACTTTGTTTTTATTATTTTTTATTATTGTTTGTTTTTTTATTCAAGGTGAACATTTGGCCTTTATTATATGTGCTTAGGAGGAAAGTGCTTTAGCAGAGGCTTTTTTAAATTTTCCAATACTAATTTGAGTACCATTCTGAATACAAGCAACATTTGTTATTATGTATGAACTCACCTTATTTCATTGCCAAGAGCCAGGATACAGTGGATATGTTCTTCCATTGTTTTTGTTTAATTTGCTAATCTGAAATCATTTATGACTAAGTAACCTGATAGAAAATAGCTTTGTTGTTCTTAAGTATAAATTCCAAATATGAAATGTTTTTCTTTTGATGTCATACAGTATAATTTCCCTTGCTCCCCATGCGTCAACAAATGCAGTTAGAGTGAATTACAATATTGAGTACATTCAGGTATTTTTTAATCTAGTGACAACACTATGAAGCACATTATTGTTGAATATCTGCAATATATGAATTCTTGTTGCTATCCTGCCATTTTCTTTTCTTACAGCATTCAGAAAATTTTTAAAGCAAAAGTAATAATACAAGTGAATGTTCCAGAAAGTTTATGGTAAAACCAACCATACAAAAGAAAATGCTTATTTCAGAGCTGTTACAAGATATAGAGAAAAAGATTGTCATATTTTAATAGATTAATATTCCTTTTGAGTAGTACTCAACTTTTCTCAATAGTTCATGAAAGGGGAGCAAAATAACAAAATTTTGTCATCTGTCATGAAGGCTTATAAATATGAATGAAATGAATCAATACATGCTGTCAAAATACTTTCCATTTTAACTAAGCAGACATTATTTATTACAGGTGTTTTTATGCCCCTTCGCTGAATATAAGCAGATTGCAAAGTTATAAAAGCGCATGTAACATATAGCATAATAAAAATAATACCAGTATCTGTGAGCCACTATTTATTGTTTGTTAAATGTACACTGCTCAAAAAATAAAGGGAACACTTAAACAACACAATGTAACTCCAAGTCAATCACACTTCTGTGAAATCAAACTGTCCACTTAGGTAGCAACACTGATTGACAATCAATTTCACATGCTGTTGTGCAAATGGAATAGACAACAGGTGGAAAGCATAGGCAGATAGCAAGACATCCCCAATAAAGGAGTGGTTCTGCAGGTGGTGACCACAGACCACTTCTCAGTTCCTATGCTTTCTGGCTGATGGTTTGGTCACTTTTGAATGCTGGCGGTGCTTTCACTCTAGTGGTAGCATGAGACGGAGTCTACAACCCACACAAGTGGCTCAGGTAGTGCAGCTCATCCAGGCTGGCACATCAATGTGAGCTGTGGCAAAAATGTTTGCTGTGTCTGTCAGCGTAGGATCCAGAGCATGGAGGCGCTACCAGGAGATAGGCCAGTACATCAGGAGACGTGGAGGAGGCCGTAGGAGGGCAACAACCCAGCATCAGGACCGCTACCTCCGCCTTTGTGCAAGGAGGGACAGGAGGAGCACTACCAGATCCCTGCAAAATGACCTCCAGCGGGCCACAAATGTGCATGTGGTTGCTCAAACAATCAGAAACAGACTCCATGAAGGTGGTATGAGGGTCCGATGTCCACAGGTGGGGGTTGTGTTTACAGCCCAGCACTGTGCAGGATGTTTGGCATTTGCCAGAGAACACCAAGATTGGCAAATTCGCCACTGGCGCCCTGTGTTCTTCACAGATGAAAGCAGGTTCACACTGAGCACATGTGACAGACGTGACAGGGTCTGGAGACGCCGTGGAGAACGTTCCACTACCTGCAACATCCTTCAGCATGACCGGTTTGGCAGTGGGTCAGTAATGGTGTGGGGTGGCATTTCTTTAGGGGGCTGCGCAGCCCTCCATGTGCTCACCAGAGGTAGCCTGACTGCCATTAGGTACTGAGATGAGATCCTCAGATCCCTTGTGAGACCATATGGTGGTGCGGTTGGCCCTGGGTTCCTCCTAATGCAAGGCAATGCTAGACCTCATGTGGCTGGAGTGTGTCAGCAGTTCCTGCAAGACGGAGGCATTGATGCTATGAACAGGCCCGCCCGTTCCCCAGACCTGAATCCAATTGAGCACATCTGGGACATCATGTCTCACTCCATCCACCAACGTCACGTTGCACCACAGACTGTCCAGGAGTTGGAGGATGCTTTAGTCCAGGTGTGGGAGTAGATCCCTCAGGAGACCATCCGCCACCTCATCAGGAGCATGCCCAGGTGTTGTAGGGAGGTCATACAGGCACGTGGAGGCCACACACACTACTGAGCCTCATTTTGACTTGTTTTAAGGACATTCCATCAAAGCTGGATCAGCCTGTAGTGTTTTTTTCCACTTAAATTTTGAGTGTAACTCCAAATCCAGACCTCCATGAGTTGCTAAATTTGATTTCCATTGATAATTTTTGTGCGATTTTGTTGTCAGCACATTCAACTATGTAATGAACAAAATATTTAATAAGAATATTTCATTCATTCAGATCTAGGATGTCTTATTTTTGTGTTTCCTTTATTTTATTTTTTGAGCAGTGTATTTGCTTTCTGTCTCACCATGGGGCTAGTCTAAAGCAGATTACCACAGTAAAAGAAATGAAAAGAAGTGTAAACATAACAGTAGCAAAATAGTGAAACAATAAAATAAATAGTGAAATATTGAATATACAGTAATATGTGTTAGAGAGGTCTGTCATAACTTTGAAGTGTTGTTGAGTAATTGCTCATTGACCAACCACTCATTAAGTGAGGACTACCTGTAATAACTTGCTTATCATCCTGATTATGGAATTCCTCCCAAAACAGTTGATATGCAGTGGGTACTAAAAATACGTGCATATCATCATACTTCTAATGCTATTTAGTGATTTGTTGTACAGGTAGTCCTTGATCTACATCATCATACTTCTAATGCTATTTAGTGATTTGTTGTACAGGTAGTCCTTGATCTACAGCAGTTGGGATTGGGACTTTTGTTGCTAAGCAGTGTAGTTATATGAGTTGTGCCTGATTTTACAACCTTTTTACAAAGTCATTAAGTCAATCACATGGCTGTTAAGTGAATCCAGCTTCCTCCATTTTTGCTTAGTGGGAGCCATGTGGGAAGGTCACAAAAGGTGTTCATATGACCTCGGGATGTAGCAACCATCATAAATACATTCTGGTTGTCAAGCACTCAAATTGTGATTATTTGACCATGGTGCCACTGTAATGACCATAAATATAAGGACAGATCATAAGTCTCTTTTTTCAGCGCCATCATGACTTTGAATGCTTGCTAGATAAATGGCTATAAGTTGAAGACTATCTGTCCTGTAATGTTGGATAATGTTAGTTACTGAGAGGCAGTTTGGTATAGTGGTTAAGGTGCTGGGCTAGAAATCAGGAGACTATGAGTTCTAGTGATGCCTTAGGTATGAAAACCAGCTGGGTGACTTTGAATCAATTACTCTCTTTCAGCCAAGTAACCTCACAGGGTTGTCATTGTGGGGAAAATAGGAGGAGGAGGAGGAAAATTAGGTATGTTTGCAGTCTTGAGTTATTTATAAAGCAATAAAGGTGGGAGAAAATCTAATAAATGAATAAATATTATATATTATATGTTTTAAATAAATATTAAATCCAATCCCTATGCTTTGGTGAAGCAAAGTAGGTTTGTAGTTGAGACAATGTTATACCTTTTCCAGTTGTTTCAATTGGCATTTTTACAGTCATCTGAGGATAAGAGACCTTTTTCGATCTCTGGTTAGAAAGGGACAGGTGAATGCACAGGCAATAGCTTTAATTACAGACCTGGTTAATTGATGAAAACTTGAGATGAATCAGCCCAAAATCTGGACCCATTTGCTTAAGATTAGGAAAAGGTTTTCTGAGGTGTTCCTTATATGCACCAGGAAGTAAGTTTTAACATCCTCTGTTCTGTTTCCTGCCTTAAACCAGAGTGGAGCCAAATGGTAGTACAGGTAGTCCTCGAATTACATTCACAATTGAGCCCAGCATTTCTGTTGTTAAGTGACACATTTGTCAAATGAGTTTTGAACCACTTCACAGTAACCCAGTGGTCAAGTGAACCTGGCTTCCCCAGGTTCTTTGCTTGTCAAAAGGTCGCAAAAAGTGATCACATGATCTTGGGACACAGCAACAATCATAAATATGTTGCCAAGCACCTGAATGTTGATCACCTGACCATGGAGATGCTGCAAAGGTCGTAATTGTGAAAAACAGAAGTCATTTTTTTCAGTGCCATTGTAACTTGGGTCACTAAATGAACTGTTGTAAGTCAAGGATTACCTGTATAAGCATTGCTTATCATTTAAGGCAATTACTGAATTTATTGTACATTCTGTAACCAAAAACTTAGAGGGAGAAACTTTTATAATAGGAAATACTAATTATAATAAACTCATTTCAAATGGTAAAGTAATGTGTATGTGTATCCAGGCCATTGGACCAAGAATAGGTGTGGCATGATCCCTACCACCTGGTATTTTTCAGGAGCTGGGAATCTCCAGGCTTCAGCTTTTGAGCAATGAAAGTCAGTTCTTACCAATGGGTCCCTAGCTTTCATTTTTAGTTGAAAGACAAGTTAGTGCTTAATGTAGAATAGATATTTTCAGTAGAATCTTCTTTTCATGTGTGTGAACCAAATTTTATTTTATTTGACCATTATCTAAATATATTTTAAATTGTTTTTAATTACAGGAACTCCAGTTTCAAAGACTCACCAGAGAACTTGAAGTGGAAAGGCAAATTGTTGCCAGTCAGTTAGAAAGATGCCGGCTTGGAGCAGAATCGCCAAGCATTGCAAGCACAAGGTATCCATCCATATTTAATTTTCAAATTGCCAGCTACTTCTTTCGAATAAACCTTTATTTTATCACAGCATGGATTATGAAAATCTCTCAATCTATAAATACCACATTCAGCATTATTTCATGGCCATTTTCTTGCCAGCTACCTGGGAATCATGGATTTAGCTCTCTAGTAGGGAAGGCAGGTGACAGATTGGAATTGTCACTGGCAGTTCTCTCAGTGATTCGCAGTAGATCACTAACCAACCCTACAGCTCTCCTTGCTTTAAATGAAAGCACAGTAGTTGAAGAGAAAGGCATGAACTTTGTTCATTTTGTATAGCTATATTTTGAGAATCATTCTGCTATAGAAAACAGATTTACTGTATAGGATGGGCAGGTATTCTGAAGCTCCCTTATTAATTCTAGAAGTATCTCCACCCACAATTATTTTGCACCTCTGGTTTGTGATCTTTGGATCTGTAGAGAACATACATACTACAGTGCACATGATTGATCTTGAACATCTCAAGTCTGTCTCTTTCTGCTCTTAAGATGTTTTTAGTATTTTAGTATTTATTTGATTTGTCAATCACTTACATGATACAGGTATAAGAATAAATACAGTTTTGAATACATGAGATAGATACTTATAAGAAAAATAAAAAAACAATAGGACAGGGACGGTAGGCACGATTGGTGCGCTTATGCATGTATGATGTTGCTATTTGATTCATTCAAGGATTCAACAAAGAAATTTGGTGGCCCCACTTGATAATTCACTAAATTACATCAATGTAGTCTTGCTAAATAATAACAAATATTATATTCATTATTAAATTAACTTCTGCACTATTAAATTAACTTTTGACTTGACACATGGATACAACTAATAACATTTATCTCTGTGCCACGATTCTAGCAATATACAGTATATAACAAATTTAGAATTTCAGTTCCAGATACTTCTCATTTCTGTTAGAAATGTGTTAAAAAGAATGAGTTTGCTTCTCATGCTCAACAATTGTTTTGGCTGTGTGCATATGAAAGAGTTGGAAACTAATTCACTGATACAAGCATATTCTGACTTGCAGACTTTAGAACCATCTTACAGCTCAGTATTGATACAATACAGAATTATGATTTGATATAAAAGGTAGCAGTCTAGTATCTATCTAACCTGTTGTCTTCCTCTTAAATCATGCTTTTGAGATTTAGTGATCATAATCTGACACAATATTCCGGGATTTGTGTAATTTGTGCATTGTGATATCTATAATTTTATTTTAGATTCTTTACTTAATAAACCTCAAACATTGCCTTCACAGTAGTAAACTGAACCATTATTTCATTTTCTCTTTCCATATGCTAAAAGCATACCAGCTTATATGAAAAATAACACATAACCTACTAGATAGTTTTGACTGAATTTAATACTTCCCAAAATGTAGATATATGGTCATAATGTAGATGCTCTTCCAAGTTGAAACATGAATGTTGTTATTATTACGTTATTATGGATCCATTTGCCATTCACATTGCATTTTCTCATATTGAATTAATTTACCAGTTTAATGTCCATTTTCCACAAAAAAATTTTTTTGAGGGGTACTAACCATTTTAGAATATTGGAAATCATCACTTAATATCATTGCTCAAGCACAAATCATTCACAAGCTAGTCAAAAAATATTGAACCTACATTATTGTAATGATAAATTTGTTTTAATCTACTTTTAATTCACATTGCCTATTGTTGCTTACATATTATTTTTGTAATAGCCACACGGGGGAACTTTGTAAATATAGCCTTTTTAGAATAACGTGGAATCATATAATCTAGAGATATTTGAATGCTTCATCAATCTTAAAAGAAAACTTGAAATAATTTAGCTTTTCATAGGTTCAGGAATGCTTCTTACTGTTTCAATACTTCGAAATAAATTTCTGCAACTTGATTATGTTTGTAAATTCAGAATCACCACAGCACTATATTTTAAATCTAACACCTACTGTAAACAACTGGTAATGATTATTTTTCTTTGACTAGGTGGCTATCCACATGATTAAGATAATGGAAGCTTGAGGGGGAAAACATTACCATGAAATTATGTCAATTTTTCATATGTGCAATTTATGTAATCTGTCAAAAATTCAGAAGCAGTAATTTTTTTAAAACCAGGAACCTCACTAATTATAAATAACAAGTTTTTATAATTGAGAAATGCAGTACAGAGTACAAGAGATTAAAAGTAAATACAATTATCAAATCTTAAGGCTTTTGGCTTGAGTACTTCCCATTCAATATTTTCTGTTATGTTTACCAACTCTGAACTTTCAGAGCAAAACAATCAAATATGTCTGGAGGTAGGAAATACCTTAAAATAGTGCCCACACTTTCATTATTAATTAAAATGGAAATGTAAAGTATTCTGTTGATCAAATTTGTGTAGATGAGCAGGCTGAGCCCAAGAGAGGGATCACGTGCATTATCAGTTTGCAGTCCTTTATACCCACAAGAGATCTAAGTCCAGCCCCTTTTGAGTTCCATTGGTTCTTATCTACCACAAATTTCCCTGGATTATTAGTAGTTCAGATTCTTGTTTAGAGATGGCATAACATCAGGGGTGGGATACGACAGGGTTAACTACCAGTTCGAGATTTATGAGCTTCCCTGCCTGCTGTGAGCCACCCGCCTGTTAATCATCATTAGCACACTGTGTGCCGAGAAGCAGCCTTTGAAACAGCCCCCTTTTCTTGTTTTTTTAACTGCCGCTGTGCCTCGTTCGGCAGCTGAAGTTGAAAAATCAGGAAATAAAGATCAGTAAGAGCCCGGGTGGGCAGGTGGGCAAAAACATCAGCAGACATAGAACCGGTTCTATGTCTGCTGCTCTTCAGAGCTACCGGTTCTACAGAGGTGGACAGAACCGGTAGAAACCCACCCCTGCATAACATAAACTTGTACTCATTTGAATAACCCTGGTTCCTGATTTCTTGCACTTGACAATTTGTAGCTTATGAAAATTAATTCTGTTCAGCTATTACTGCCTCAAATTCAATATGCCAAAATATAAATGGGACTTTGGCCTGTGGCTGCAAACTCTTTTAAGATTGCTTTGTCTACAAGCTTTGATTCCACAAAATTATAGTTTACTGTTGCTTGTGAAATGGGAAGTCATAAGCACCAGCTTTGGAATTAGTAATCAAACCTCAAATCACATGTTAATAATTTGACTTGTTCCAATCATAATTGTTCCAATTAATTGTATAATTGTCAGAATTTTTGATACAAGCATTTAACAAAACATCAGACAGTAGTTTGTACAGTCTGCAAAAAGATTGATGGAATGTCAGGTCCTCCAGCCCTATTCCTGTTGTGGAAGAATTAAAAGTTGCCTCTATATGGTAATATTTAATACGCAGGTAATCCATGACTTACAACCACTCTCTCAACGCCATTCAAAATTACAATGATGCTGAAAAAATGGACTTAAGACTCATGCCCAAAGTTATGGCTGTTGCAAATTAAAATGGAAAAAAACACTACAGGCTGATCCAACTTTGATGTAATGTCCTTAAAACAAGTCAAAATGAGGCTCAGTAGTGTGTGTGGCCTCCACATGCCTGTATGACCTCCCTACAACGCCTGGGCATGCTCCTGATGAGGTGGCGGATGGTCTCCTGAGGGATCTCCTCCCACACCTGGACTAAAGCATCCCCCAACTCCTGGACAGTCTGTGGTGCAACATGCCGTTGGTGGATGGAGCGAGACATGATGTCCCAGATGTACTCAATTGGATTCAGGTCTGGGGAATGGGCGGGCCAGTCCATAGCATCAATGCCTTCATCTTGCAGGAACTGCTGACATCTCCAGCCACATGAGGTCCAGCATTGTCTTGCATTAGAAGGAACCCAGGGCCAACCACACCAGCATATGGTCTCACAAGGGGTCTGAGGATCTCATCTCGGTACCTAATGGCAGTCAGGCTACTTCTGGAAAGCACATGGAGGGCTGTGCGGCCCCTTAAAGAAATGCCACCCCACACCATTACTGACCCACTGCCAAACCAGTCATGCTGGAGGATGTTGCAGGCAGCAGAACGTTCTCACGGCATCTCCAGACCCTGTCACGTCTGTCACATGTGCTCAGTGTGAACCTGCTTTCATCTGTGAAGAGTACAGGGCGCCAGTGGCGAATTTGCCAATCTTGGTGTTCTCTGGCAAATGCCAAACACCCTGCACGGTGCTGGGCTGTAAGCACAACCCACACCTGTGGATGTCAGGCCCTCATGCCACTCTCATGGAGTCTGTTTATGACCATTTGAGCAGCCACATGCACATTGGTGTCCCGCTGGAGGTCATTTTGCAGGGTTCTGGCAGTGCTCCTCCTGTCCCTCCTTGCACAAAGGCGGAGGTAGCGGTCCTGATGCTGGGTTGTTGCCTTCTATGGCCTCCTCCACGTCTCCTGATATACTGGCCTGTCTCCTGGTAGCACCTCCATGCTCTGGACACTACGCTGACAGACACAGCAAACCTTCTTGCCACAGCTCGCATTGATGTGCCATCCTGGATGAGCTGCACTACCTGAGCCACTAGTTGGGTTGTAGACTCCGTCTCATGCTACCACTAGAGTGAAAGCACTGCCAGCATTCAAAAGTGACCAAACCATCAGCCAGAAAGCATAGGAACTGAGACGTGGTTTGTGGTCACCACCTGCAGAACCACTCCTTTATTGATGATGTCTTGCTAACTGCCTATGCTTTCCACCTCTTGTCTATTCCATTTGCACAACAGCATGTGAAATTGATTGTCAATCAGTGTTGCTACCTAAATGGACCGTTTGATTTCACAGAAGTGTCATTGACTTGGAGTTACATTGTATTGTTTAAGTGTTCCCTTTATTTTTTTGAGCAGTGTATAATTTGCAGGGTTATATTCACCTAGCGTAACTTGTAAGCAGCTGGTGTTTTTTTAGTGCCCCTAGCAGCTTAGGTCATGAGGTTGAAAGGTGGTAGCAAACTGACA